GAATTCAAAATGAGAATTCATACTTAGTCGAAAAAGAATCGTCGACTAAGTAGCTCGTAGAATTTTGTGGACTTTGGAACCCTCGGAGTTTAGAGAAAACATTTGAAAAATAATTTATACCCGATAATTAATACTCCTATAGCAGTTTACATTAAACGATCAAAATTACACCATACAGACACATAAAACTTATATACACGCTCCTAAGCCTGATAATTAGCTTCCTAAGCATATATATACTCCTCAAATTATTTAATCTCCATAATAATGATTCAGAAGAAAAAATCAGTATCCCATAACTGATTCCTACACAAAATGGAAGTCCAACTCACAATAAAAAAAATACATTTAAAAAAATTCCAATGTTAATGAATTAAAGTTTAATTTCAAAAGTCTTCATGATCAAGCTAACAAAATTTTTAGAACACTGAATGTGGTTTTTTCTTTCTGCACTACACACCAAAATATTTATATTAATATAACACAGATTGTTTGAAATAAAAAGAAGTGATCCCATTACTTCTAAATTTTGAACACATCAAATTCAAAATGGTACTATAGCCTAGAAAATTTGTACATAGAACAACAATTCAAAACTTTCTTCAATCTCAAATTAAATAAACAACCCAAATCAAAATGATAAAAATTTTCAAGAACAGTACTGCTGAAATAAAACACACACATGCAAGCCGACATCATATAAGTAAAATGATTTAACCTCAGCGGCTGAAGGCTCAATTCTCAAAATCGGGAGTTCCGGTATCCACTTCAAATTCACGAAAACACAACCCAACAAAAGAGCCGATAAATAATTTAACTCAAACGACGAGAAACGATTCAACGCGTACGAATATACTCAAACGAATTAAGACGTGAGTATGAACATAATATAACGGAAAAGGGATCGGCCAATATACCGTACTTCACGGAATCTACGAGCCAATCTGACAGAACGACAAACAATGGATGAACGAACGGACGTCTGAAGCTCGACGAGTGGACCGTGAATGTTGCGTTTGCTCCAGCGGATGTCGGTTGCCGGCTGCGGGGAAACTGAACAGCACGGCCTCGGCACGGTTTCGCGTGAACACGATGATGTAGTTGCGTGCAGTTCAGGGAGGATATACTCACCGGAACTTTGATGATGTTCGGTGATTGCAGTCACCGGAAAAAAAAAAAATTGTGTGGAGGACGACTGGACGGGGAAATTGAGGTGATGATGGTGAATGATGTTATGAATTTTCTCCAAACTCTTTCCTCTGGTATGAATTTCAGAATTCTAAAGCTATAGAAAAGATAAAAAAAATGTGTGGTGCTGGGGAATTAAAAAGGGAAAAATTCCAAATTGATGAGGCCATTAAAATAGATTTATTTGCCATAATTAAGAGCCACTAATAGCTGATTTATGAGAGGCTTAACGGCCATAAGAAAAGAGTGTAAGGCTGGTACATTAGATGCATAGACTTTCTTTGAATTATCAATTCAAAATAAGACTAATATTTAACTATGGTAGAAATAACTCACATCAAACATATAGGGTCGGATAAAAGGTTTTGTTTGGCCTGAAATTTGCAACAGTATGGGCCAACAGGTAATACTCGAAGTTCGGATCGCAATGGCTCGAAAACCAGTCGAAACGGATTAAAAATCGGTTTACGCATTTAAATCGAAAATCGCCGAAATAGTTTAAATCCAAACAAAATAAATTCTAATAAATCTAATACAGATAAATAAACACATAAATTCACACAGATAATGCCACATAGTATTTAAATAATTAAACAGATGAAAGAGACAAGCAGTTAATATCATAACCGGCAAATAAATAATGCAAAGGAAAATAATCAATAATACTAAAATAATAATATAATATTCAGAAAATTATAATAAACGAATGGGACGCTACAATCTACCAACCTAAAAAGGAATTCCGACCTCGGAATTCGAAAGAAAAACAATCCAACTAGAAAACAAAAGAGTACAAAAAGGAATCAAAAGACGAAGTTCGGATACTTCCTCCTAAGCTCAGCCTCGATCTCCCAAGTCGCCTCGATCTCGTCGTGTCGGCTCCATAGCACCTTCACCAAACTCACTGCCCGGTTCCTCAGCTGATGGACCTTCCGATCCAGTACGGCAACCGGCACCTCCTCATAGGTGAGGTCTCGCTCGACCTGCAGCTCGCCGAAGTCCACCACATGGTCGGGATCATGTACATATCTACACAGCATGGAGACATGAAACACATCGTGCACTCCCGACAAGTCTGGTAGCAAAGCTAGCCGATACGCCAAGTCTCCGACTCGAGCAAGGATCTCAAAAGGCCCGATATAGCGAGGCTTAAGCTTCCCTTTCTTCCCGAAGCGAATCACACCCTTCATGGGCGAGACCTTCAGGAAGACATGATCACCAACGACATATTCATGCTCTTGCCTCTTACGGTCGGCATAAACCTTCTGCCTCTCCTGAGCAGACTTGATCCTCTTCTGGATCTCATCAACCTGAGCCGAAGTCGTGCGAATGAACTCCGGGCCCATAATCTTCCTCTCTCCAACTTCATCCCAGTAAATGGGAGTTCGAACCTTTCGACCGTACAAAGCCTCATACGGTGCCATCTTTATAGAGGAATGATAACTATTATTATAAGCCAACTCAACCAATGGCAACAAATCCTCCCAAGTTAGGCTACGGTCCAAGACCACAGCCCTAACAATATCCTCCAAGTACTGGATCGTCCGCTCTGACTGACCATCTGTCTGAGGATGAAAAGTTGTACTGAACTCCAACCTCGTCCCCATGGCTCGGTGCAGAGTCCTCCAGAACTGAGAAGTGAACCTCGCGTCTCGGTCGGACACAATCTCCAAGGGAACTCCATGAAGTTTAACAATCTCATCTGCGAACAACTTGGCGTAATCACTGGCCTTCATCGTCGTTCGGACGGGCAAGAAGTGGGCAGACTTCGTAAGTCGATCCACAATCACCCATATAGAATCGTGTCCCTTCCTCGACCTCGGTAAACCTACCACAAAATCCATGGTAATGCACTCCCATTTCCACATGGGAATCTCAAGCGGACCCAAAAGACCTCTCGGTTTCTGGTGTTCAGCCTTCACTTGCTGACACACTAAACAGCTATTCACAAATCTCGCTACTTGGCGCTTCATACCACGCCACCAAAAGGTCTTCTTCAAGTCCTGGTACATCTTCGTGCTACCAGGGTGAACAGAATAAGGAGCGCTGTGAGCCTCCTTCAGAATCTCGCGTCGCAGCTCCCAAACTTTCGGTACACAAAGTCGCCCCTCGAAGAGTAAAGCACCGTCAGTTGAAACCGCGAAACCTCCAATTTGTCCAGCTAAAGCCAATTCCCTCATCCGACAAAGGAACCGGTCATTTGGCTGCTCGGATATAATCCTCTCTCGCAAAGTCGGCCTCACAACTAATGATGCCAGCATACCACTAGTTCTCGGAGTGGACTTCACGATCTCTAACTTCAGTCGTTCGAAGTCTCAGACTAACTCTTCCTCCCGAGATATGATGATGTTCAGCGCACCGTGGTTCCTCCGACTCAACGCGTCGGCGACCACATTAGCTTTCCCAGGATGGTAGCTAATTGTGCAATCGTAGTCCTTCATGAGCTCTAACCAACGCCTCTGCCTCATATTGAGCTCCTTCTGTGTGAAGATGTATTTCAAACTCTTGTGGTCCGTGAAAATCTCGCACTTACCTCCGTAGAGATAGTGCCTCCAGATCTTAAGCGCATGAACCACTGCGGCAAGTTCCAAGTCATGGGTCGGATAGTTCACCTCGTGAGGCTTCAACTGCCTCGATGCATAAGCCACGACCTTCCCTTGCTGCATCAACACACAACCCAAACCCATCTTCGAAGCATTGCTATAAATAGTGAACTCCAAAGTCGGGTCCGGTATAGTCAACACTGGCGCAGACGTGAGTCTCCTCTTCAACTCCAGAAAACTCGACTCACACTGAGGGCTCCACACGAACTTGATGTTCTTCTTGGTTAAGTTCGTCAGCGGTTGGGCCACCTTCGAGAATCCCTCGATAAAACGCCGATAATATCCTGCCAATCCTAGAAAACTGCGGATATCACTAGCATTCTTCGGTGTCTCCCATTTACTGACGGCCTCAATCTTTCCTGGGTCTACCTCGATTCCACGAGCTGTGACGATATGGCCTAAGAAAGCCACTCTATCCAGCCAGAACTCACACTTCGAGAATTTCGCGTAGAGCTTCTCCCGACGAAGGGTCTCTAGCACAATCCTCAAATGTTCTTTATGCTCCTCTAAATCCCGAGAATACACCAAGATGTCGTCGATAAAGACGATGATGAAGCGATCCAGGTACGGATGGAAAACACAGTTCATCAAGTCCATGAACACCACAGGGGCATTACTCAACCCAAACGGCATGACCACGAACTCGTAATGACCGTACCTAGTTCGGAAGGCGGTCTTCGAGACGTCGGACTCCTTTATCTTCAACTGATGATAACCAGACCGCAGATCGATCTTGGAGAAGACACTGGCTCCTCTCAACTGATCAAAGAGATCCTCAATTCTCGGCAAGGGGTACTTGTTCTTGACCGTCAAATTGTTCAACTCACGATAATCAATGCACATGCGCATCGAACTATCCTTCTTCTTCACAAACAGCACGGGCGCTCTCCAGGGTGAAACACTTGGTCGGATGAAACCAAGGTTCAACAGCTCCTGGATTTGCGTCTTGAGTTCTTGTAACTCCTTCGGTGCCATTCGATAAGGGTCCTTCGAGACAGGTCCGGCTCCAGGCAGCAAGTCAATGGTGAATTCAACTTGTCTGTTGGGCGGTCCACCTGGCAACTGGTCGGGAAAAACATCGGGGTACTCACATACAATTGATACTTCCCCTGGTGATGGCTTCTTCTCTTCCCCTTCTCTGGTCATGCTCACTAGGTAGCCTTGGCAACTACCCTTTTTTATTCCCTTCATGGCCTTCAGGGAGGAAATATCTTTCGGCACGGTCCTCGACTTGGCGCCGTAAAACACGATCGACTCTCCATCGGTTGGGTGAAGCGTGACCTCCTTCTCTAAGCACCAGATGTCAGCACGGTAGTGGGTAAGCCAGTCCATACCAAGGATAACGTCGAAATCCCGCATATCAATGATATAAGCATCTGCCTCCAACGTTCGGCCTCCAATTGAAATTTCAAGTCCCTGTACCATCGTATCGGTAGAGATCGTTTTTCCCGAAGCTAAACAAACCTCGAGAGCATCGACTGTAACACCCCTCTTTACTGTTAAATCAGAGTGCGCAATAATTCGCAAAGTCTTTGAAAAATAAACCTTTTTACTTTGCGAAAACCGATTAGGGGTGCTACCTTTAAAAATCGTGACTTTACTTAGAAAACCGTTATTTTAATTTTTATAAAATCATCCGGTTACTGAAAACATTAATTTCTTAAAAGTTCGTCAAAAGTAATAAGTTCGTCATAACGATACGTCAAAAACCATCCAACACCATCAAAAGTCGTCAAAGTATCGTAAGCGGAAGCGAAAGTCATAATCATAATTATACAGTCCAAAATATCCTGAGGTCCCCGTCACGTCACGTCACGCTCCTGGCCCGACGTCCTGACCTGAAAAACATAATAAAACTGGGGAGTGAGCACTAAGGCACTGTGCTCCGTGGAAACTCATACTATTGTAAAACATTGTAAATAATAACAATATCATGAACTAAGCATATATAACTGAACTGAAACTGATATCTGATACAGGTCTGATCTCGCGACATAAGTCACGTAACTGATAACTGATCTCGTGACATAAGTCACGTCGTGACATAAGTCACATCTACACTGAACATCTGCCGACAAAGCCGGACACCATGTGCACACTCTAGTGGGCAGACTAGGGCCACTAGAACCCAGAATGGACCGACGACCATTCCGAGCAGATACTGAATATACATACCTCGAACATGGTAGCGTAATTATAAACAATGTAGTACTTAGTCTGAGTCCCCACCTGAAATGCTGAACTGAAAGGTAATGCTGATGCCTGCTTAAACTGAAAATAATATAAACAATTACTATTGACTATGCTCAGACTGTTAATTTAACTTATTAATTTCGTTAAAATGCTCTATTTAACTTAACATGATTTTTAGACTTATCCGGAATAACCGGAACTGACTTAACCTGAACTGATTGGACATGAACGTACTGAACTGAAATAGTCCCAAAAATTTAACTGAAAATATCCTAAAAATGGTAAACCGGCTGAAAACTTAAACATGTAATGAACCGGACTAAACTGAGGACGAACCGGATCACGATTTTTAAAGGTAGCACCCCTAATCAGTTTTCTCAAAATAAAAAGGTTTATTTTTCAAAGACTTTGCGAATTATTGCGCACTCTGATTTAACAGTAAGGAGGGGTGTTACATCGACTCTACTAACACTACGGATTCCCAGTGACTCCAGGCATTCACGAGAGATAAAAGAATGCGTGGCACCAGTATCACATAAAGCATAGATAGAAACATTCGATAAAGATAGCATGCCAGACATTGTACCTGCATTGTTGGCTGTCTCCGCCTGAGTAATGGCATAAACTCGGGCTGGGGCTCGCTGCTGCTGCTGCTGATGAGGCTGGGGCTGATTTGGCCTTCGGGGTTCGGGGCAGAAACGGGAGTAATGGCCCTTCTTCTGGCAGTTGAAACAAGTCACGTCGGCAGCGCGACACATGTTGGCTTCATGGACCCGTCCGCACGCTCTACATGGTGACGGTCCTGCCGGAAACTGCTGGATGGGCTGAACATTCTGGGCCACAAATTGCTGATGATGCTGGCGATGGCCATGGTTAGGGCGCTTGCCCTTCTTGCAGTTCTGCTGATCATTCTTCCTCTTGCTGGAACTAGAGGACGGGGGAGCTGAAGTGAACGGGGCAGGATACTGGTAAGAAATCTGAGGAATGACAGGCGGCTGAGAGATGAGCGAAGGTGCAGTCTGAGTGGTCTGAGAAGCATGATAGTAGGAGTGCACTGGAGCTATCGGAATCAAACAACTCTCAACCTCCTGAGCTCGCAGAACGGTATCGGCATAAGGAATTGCTCCATGGCTCCCTACAAGTTCACGAATTCGCTGATTCAGCCCCTTCAGATATTTACGGGCTTTCTTCGCATCGGTATTCACCATTTCACCAGCGAAGATGCTCATGCGAGTGAAGTTGCGCGTGTACTCGTCCACGCTGGCATTCCCCTGCTGGAGGTGCCAAAACTCCTGCTCCATGCGATCACGGAAACTCTGGGGAAGAAATTTATCTCGGACGATATCCTTCATATGCTCCCAGGTGAGCACATTGCGC